CATTACAAGCAAGGCTAAGAAGGCAAAGATTGAGGAGACGAAGGGGACTGATAGTTCCACTCCCACTTCCTGGAGAGACAGGAAGTTTGGTCCGAAAGGAAAGGGAAAACAGTTTGCGACTAGGCAGGCGCTTGGTCAGTTCAAGAGGACTACTTCTTCACAGCAGGGAAGTTTTGCGAGGCCTCCTTCCACTCCGAGATTTTTGGGGTGCGGAAAGGAGCATGTGGGACGTTGTGCTTCGAGGCAGTTAGTATGCTTTCAGTGTGGCAAGGAGGGCCACTTTTCCAGAGACTGTCTGTCGTCGACGGCGAGAGCTGCAGCTGTTCAGGCAGTACCATTGCAGATGGTTCCCTTGGCATCTACTTCGGCACCTGCAGTGCCACCTACTACTGGATGTGTGTACACGTTGGATCGCCAGCAGTCTGATAGAGCTCTGAACCTTGTCAGAGGCACTATGTCTATTGGTGATTCATCTGTTGATGTATTATTTTATTCCGGGGCTACGCATTCTTTTGTTGCAACCCCGATTGTTGTAGGGCTTGAGCTGCCCATGTCTGTGCTTTCTCCACCATTGCGGGTGACCACCGCCACCAGAGAAATATGTGATTCTACCACTGTACATCGCGATGTAGCGTTTCAGTAGGACAGTCGTGAGTTCACGGTAGATCTGATAGGATTGCCGATGGCCAACTTGGAGATTATTTTGGGCATGGATTGGTTGTCCAGAAACTGTGCATTAATTGATTGCTGTGCAAAGCGCGTGGTGATGTCTCCGTGTGATTCCACAGCTAGTTCCTCGCCATATATTTCATTGCTGCAGGCTAGGAAGGCCTTGAGAGCAGGGGCATTTGGTTATGTCATGTTGGAAGGTTTGGTGAGTGGGACACAGGAGGATATCACTGGTATTCCTGTAGTGAGGGAATTCCTCGTAGTGTTTCCGGCGGAGATTCCTAAGTTTTCGCCTCAGATGGAGATAGAATTCTCTATTAACTTGTTGCCTGGTGTGGGGCCTATTTCAATAGCTCCATATCGGATGTCGCCACCGGAGTTGGCAGAGCTGAAGAAGCATATTGAGGATCTTTCAGTGAAAGATTTTATTCGGCCGAGTGTGTCTCCTTGGGGAGCACCGGTCATCTTTGTGAAGAAGAAGGACGGGACAATGCGAGTGTGCACCGACTACAGGCAGTTGAACAAGGTGACGATCAAGAACAAGTATCCCCTTCCTCGTATTGATGATATGTTGGATCAACTCAAGGGTGCTTGCGTGTATTCGAAGATTGATCTCCGGTCCGGATACCATCAGGTTTGGGTGAAGCCGGAGGATGTCCCTAAGACCGCGTTTCATTCACGATACGGTCATTTTGAGTATTTGGTGATTCCTTTTGGACTCACCAATGCACCTGTTCATGGATTACATGAACATGATTTTCCGGCCATATCTGGATCAGTTTGTGATCGCATTCTTGACGACATTATGATTAACTCCAAGACTGAGGAGGAACATGCGGAGCATCTGAGGATTATTTTGCAAGTGTTGAAGCGAAAAAGCTTTATGCTAAGCCTTCTAAGTGTGAGTTTTGGCTCAAATCAGTCAAGTTCCTTGGGAATGTGATTGCATCAGAAGGAGTCGCAATGGATCCCAACAAGATCGAAGCTGTGCTAGATTGGGAGAGGCCCAAGACAGTTACGGAAATGAGGAGCTTCTTAGGTTTGACAGGCTACTATCAGAGGTTCAACAAGGAATTATCCACGATGGTTCTCCCATTGACTCGCCTTACCCGAAAGGAGACTCCATTTGTGTGGACTCACGAGTGTGATGAGTGTTTTCAGGAGTTGAAGGAGAGATTGATGACTTCACCTGTGTTGATCCTTCCTGATCCTGAGGAGCAGTTTAAGCTTTACTGAGATGCTTCTGGAAAGGGGCTGGCTGTGTTTTGATGCAATCTGGTAGAGCTGTTGCTTTTGCTTCCTGGCAGTTGAAACCTCATGAGGAGAACTACTCGAATCATGATTTGGAGTTGGCTGCGATTGTGTTTGCTTTCAAGATTTGGAGGCATTATCTGTTCGGTATGGAGTTTGTTGTGTTCAGTGACCACAAGAGCTTGAAGTATCTGTTTGATCAGAAGGATCTGAACATGAGGCAGAGAAGATGGATGGAGTTTCTGAAGGACTATGACTTTGAGTTGAAGTACCATCCTGGCAAGGCCAATGTGGTAGCCGATGCTCTGAGTCGGAAATTCGTGAGTTTATCCAGTTTGACGATAGGTGACTTCGACGTCATAGAGAAGTTTCGAGATCTGAAAGTGACTTCCTTGTTTGGGGGTTCACTTCTCGAGATGGAGACTGTGAGAGTTAGGAACGAGCTTATGGAGAAGATCCAAGAGGCGCAAGTGCAGAGAGAGTGCCTGGACTACGTGAAGAACCAAGACAGTGTGTCTTGGAATGAGGATGGACTTCTGTTGTTTCAGAAGCAGATTGTGATTCCTCGAGGTCCTTTGACCGAAGAGGTTATGGCAGAGGCCAATAAAGGCCAGTTTACTGTCCACCCTGGTGCGACAAAGATGTATCAAGACTTGAGGAGAAATTTCTGGTGGCCAGGAATGAAGAAGGACATAGTTGTGTATGTGTCCAAGTGTTTGACTTGTGATAAACCCTTAGTTCATCATGTTTTTAAGCATGAATTAGCTTAATTTGTATGATTAAAAGTATGGAAAAGAGGGTCAATGTCCTGGAAAGTCCTAAATACAAGTTCTGGAAGATGTATTGACAATTATTGTTCTTGTAGGGAAATGAAGCTCAAGAAGCAAAAGAGAGAAGGAAGAAGATTCTGAAGAATGGGATAATGCTAAGTGTTGAGCGCTAAAACGTCCAAGGAGAACGTTTTAGCGCGCTGCGGCATATTGAGGCCTTAAATTGCTGGTGTCGAGCGCTAAAACGTCAATTGCAAGGGTTTTAGCGCTCTGATGTGCAAGAAGGTTCTGGTCGTGAACGCTAAAACGTCCAAGTAGAATGTTTTAGCACTGAAAACAGTTGAAAGCAGTTGCGCATCGTCAAAGTTGAGTGCTAAAACGTCCAACAGGGAACGTTTTAGTGCCTAAGTCAGTTTTTGGTTAATTTTCAGTTGTAATTTGAAAACTATAAAAGGCAAGGGGCCTTCACATTTGAACAGATCCTGTCAGATAAATTCTGATATGACTTTTCATTTTCTCTGACTTTCCAAATTCTTTAGGACTTAGTTCTTGTATTAGTTTAGTATACTTATGTAATTGTGATTGAAGATTGAAGACTCAACATCATGACAATGGAGTTTGATCTTTCCTCTTTTCTTGTTATTTCTTTTATTATGTCTGAGTAGAGTCCTTTGTAGTCTGATTTCAATGGAACTCAAGGATGATTTATGTATAGTTGATTGAATATTATGAGTTTCTTTTATGTGATGATATGAAGTTTCATGTATCAATTCTTTCCATCAAAGGAGTAGTGTCGAACAGGAATGTTTACATTATTTCTACAACTGGTAATTTCATCATCAGTGTTCTAGTATCCAAGGGATTGATGCTAGGACTCTGATGTAATCTTTAAAATCTTAGTGTTGAATGTATGTATTAAGAAGGGAATCACCAAGGGATTGGGGTTCTTGATTAATGTATCAATCAGGATAGTAAGAGATTACATCTTGATGATAAGAAAAAGGTTGATTAAATCCACATGAAAGATAATTCATAATGGAATTGATTCTTACATAAATTCATGCTTGAGGGAAATTGATTTCTAACTACTTGTTTTTAAAATTATAGTTCATATTCTATTATTTTGGCAAGTTCTAATACAATTCAAATTTCTGGTGACAATTATCAATGCAATCAAAAACTTTTTGTTTGATTCAACTTAAGTATATATGGTTAGTTGGTGTTTGAACACAAATCTTCGTGGGAACGATCTTTATTCATCATTTTATTACTTGTACGACTTGTACACTTGCTAAAGTTGCAACAAGTTTTTGGCGCCGTTGCCGGGGAATTGTTCTTCAACATTGACAAACACCATTAATATTTGAGATTGAATCTTTTATTTTCAGCAATTTATATTTTTGTGTGAAGTTTTGTTAATTCCAATTCTGGTGTATGCGAGTTACTATTAATCCCAACTCTTTGTTGTTTGATCCAGAATTAGAAAAGAAAATTAGGAAGAACAGGAAGGCAGCAAGACAAAGAAAGCTACAAGAAAGGGGTGAAGCCAGTGTGATAATTCAGGAAGAAGTCATGGCAGAAAATCATGTGCCACCACCACAGAGGACACTGGGAGATTACATGACTCCCACAGTCATTCCACCGATTGGGAGTGTTGTTCGACCAACTGTGGAGCCTAATATTTTTGAGTTGAAACCGGCACTGGTACAATTGGTGCAGAAGGAACCGTTTGCTGGTACAAGTGCAGAAGATCCATATCTGCACATTGAAAATTTCTTACTTTTGAGCGATACGGTGAAGATCAATGGTGTGACTAGAGATGCCATCTTTTTAAGGTTGTTCACTCATTCACTGAAGGATGATGCAAGAAGATGGTTACAGTCATTACCTCAAGGGAGTATTACAACTTGGGATGATCTTCAGACAAAGTTCTTAGCCCGGTTCTTTTCAGCATCTAAGAGGGCAAAATTGAAGAAAGAGATCACAGGATTAAAGCAAAAAGAGTCAGAGTCTATCTATGAAGCCTAGGAGAGGTTCAAGACACTGTTGAGGAAATGTCCACAACATGGTATAGAAGTGTGGAATCAAGCAGCAATATTTCTCCAAGGGGTGACAACAAACACTAGGACATTGGTGAATGCTACAACTGGTGGTTCATTGACAACCAAGACTCCTCAAGAAGCACTTGACATATTTGAATCTCTGGCATCTCAAGAGTTTGACAATGCTCCGGTGAATGACAGAAGAACGGGGATTATAAAACTTGATGGTTATGATGCTCTGTTAGCCAAGAATGATCAGATGATGTAGATGCAAAAACAACAACAACAACAGTTGGATGCTCTCACTAAGCAGCTATCTTGTCAGAAGGTTGCTTCTGTAGACACTAATTATGTGTGTGCAATTTGTGGGAAGAGCCATGCTACAGATGATTGTGATTATGGGGGATCTGGCGAACAAGCAGAAGTGAATGGGGTATGGTATGATCAGAGGAACCATAATAACCAGGGGCGAAACTTGTATGTTCCACCATGGAAGAATAAGAATCAACACCCAGGGTTCAGTTATAGTTCTAATCATCAGTTGAATCCTCCACTGCATCCTCCTCCATCACATTCTTCACAACAAGGTGATACCTCTGCATGGGAGAAAGCTTTTGCCCAGCTATCAAAGACCACTCAAGATTATATTCAGGGGTCAAATTCTTTCAGAGAAGAAACTTCTGTATTCATGCAAGAGACAAAAACATCATTCAGGAACCAAGAAGCATCCATCAGGAATTTGGAAACCCAGATTGGTCAATTATCCAGACAGATATCTAAGAGACCACAGGGAAAGTTCCCTGAGGATACAATGGTCAATCCAAAGGAGCATTGCAAGTCCATTATTACAAGAAGTGGGCTTGTGCTTCAATCGGTTAAGAAGAAAGTGGAAGAAAAGAAAAATGAGGAAGAAGTTGTTGTTGAAGATGTTGTAGTTGAAAATGATGAAAAAGAAAAAGTTAAGGAAGATAAGAAAGAAGATGGGGTAGTTGTGGAAGACAATTCTTCACCCAAGAAGTTGATGAAGCGGGAGAAGAAGAAAATGGCTGACAAGCAAGACCAGCCAGTTAATCTGTCTCCATATGCCAAAGTTCCTTATCCTCAGAGGTTGAAACAAGAAATTCAGAAACAACATTATGCAAGGTTTTTAGATATTTTCAAGAAATTACAGATCAACATTCCATTTGCTGAAGCCTTGGAGAACATGCCTCATTATGCAAAATTTATGAAGGATCTGTTGTCTAAGAAGAGGAAGTTGAAAGATGGTGAGACTGTGGCGTTAACGAAGGAGTGTAGTGCCTTGATTCAAAAGAAACGTCCTCCAAAGTTAAAGGACCTAGGCAGTTTCAGCATTCTTATTGCTATCGGAGAAGTGGAAGTAGGAAAAAAACTTTGTGACTTGGGGGACAGTATCAATTTGATTCCATTGTCTGTCTTTAGAGCTTTGGGGATTAACAAATTGAAAGACACTAATGTTGTCCTACATTGATGTGCCTCTGGCAGATGTAGTTTCTAAGCTGAAATTGATAAGAATTGAGTCATAAAAGAGCAATTTAAATACGTATTTGCTTATTATATTGATTCTTTTTATGTCAATGATATTTCTCACCTATTATTGTGTTTATATAGGTAAAAGAAGAAAAAAATATGGAAATTACGAAAAGCCTTATGATCTACTCCACTCGGCTAGAAATTCAATGATGCATAAAAGTTCGTGGGCCAAATGGTAGAGCGTTGGCGCGTGTTAGCGCCACAATGGCGCAAGACGGCGCCGGGTTGCAAAGTGGTGCCCAAATTGGCGTAAGGTGGCGCGGTTCGTGTGCATCGCTTTGTCTCCAGGGATTTGGTACCAAGTGGCGCCACAATGGCGCCCACTGGCGCCGGTTTTCGTACTCTACAGCGGTGACTTTGGAGTGGCGCTAGTGGCGCCATACTGGCGCCGGTTTTTGAGAAATTTTGTCCGACTTTTCACTTTAGCACAGAAGCATGGCGCCTAGTGGCGCCATACCGGCGCCGGTTTGCGGGAAAAATTACACCGTGTTGTCTGGGGGTAATTTTGGAAGAATGAAAGAGACTTATAAATAGAATCCTCGTGACATAATTAAGAGGAACCAGACCTATTCTATTGAAGTAAGACGACGGTGGTGCTCGGAGAGGATTCTGGAGATCAAGTTCTTCTTCTTCATCTTCTTTTTTATTTTTATTTTATTGAATATTGGATTTTTAGCCATGATTATGGTTGGCTAGTTTATTTTTATTGTAGTTAGGGTCACAAACCCTATGTGAACCCTTGTTACGACGGATTGGTTTACTTTTACTCGTTTATATAAATTATCTTTATCTTTATCCTGTGCGTATTTTATATTCTCTTTATTAGAATTGATCAATATGATAGTTGATGATAGTTTGAGGGTTAGAACCCTAGATAGGAATATTGGGGTTTTGATCTTGAAAGGGGGTAGGATAACAATTTATATGCATGCTAGGAATAGATGTGTATTTAATTACGTATGCTTAAATTATTGCGTTCATTGCTTAATGCCATGAGAAATATTGCAAGGAATTGGGGTTTCAATTAGGATTAAAGGGTTAACCTTGCAAGAAATTGAGGGTTAACTATTAATATCTTTAGATAATTTATCTAAGTAATTTTATGAATGAATATTGTAAATCAATCCAGAGTAATAAGCGGTAATCATTTGGTGAGTGTATCCTAGCTACAATGCTTTTCTCATATTTTACAAATCACTTCTCATTGTTATTTTCAATTTTATTCTTCATCACAGAAAAATCCCAAAAATAAGTCTTTACTTTTAATTTTACTCAAATCGACATTATTTGTCACAAACAAACCCTTTTGAATTCCTCCATTCTTGAAAGGACTATTAATTGATATACGATCACAATCCCTGTGGAGACAAACTTTTCTTATCATTATATTACTTGTGCGATTGGTATACTTGCCGGGAAGCATCATACATCTAACAGATAGATCAATTAAGAGACCAGAAGGTGTGGTGGAAGTTGTTCTGGTAAAGGTGGATAAAGTCATCTTCCCTGTGGATTTTGTTATACTTGATATGGAAGAGGAAGATACTGAAAATCCTCTACTCCTAGGGAGACCATTTTTAGCCACTGCAAGATCCCTAATTGATGTTGAATAAGGGAAGTTGATGTTAAGGGTAAATGAAGAAACAATTACCATAGATGTGTTTGAAGCTATTAAACATCTTGTTGATGTGGAGGATTGTTTCAGAATTGATATCATACAGGAGGTTGTGGAAGAAGTGATAGGAGAGGAAACTCTTCACTTGAGGAAGACAAATTCAAGGAAGAGACAAGTGTGGAATGTTATCAGGAGGAACCAGAAGTTGAAGAGTTGGAAAAGAAAGTTGATGATATCCCTAAGGGAGCACCCAAGGTAGAACTGAAAGAACTACCTTCAAATCTCAAGTATGTGTTTCTTGGAGATGATCAAACTTACCCAACCATTATCAATGCATTGTTTTCCGAAGGGGAGGAAGTAAAGTTGATTGAGGTGCTAAAAAAGAACAAGACAACCATGGGCTAGTTATTTTCAGACCTTAAGGGTATTAAACCTTCTTTCTGCACTCATAAAATATTGATGGAAGATGAGGTTAAACCAGTGAGGCAACCACAGAGAAGACTTAACCCTACTATGAAGGAGGTAGTGAGGAAGGAAGTGGTGAAGTTTCTTGATGCTGGGATGATCTATTCTATCTCAGACAGTGCTTGGGTGAGTCCAGTACAGACGATGCCCAAGAAAGGAGGAATGACTGTCGTGAGGAATGAGAACAATGAATTAATTCCCACAAGAACAGTCACTCGCTGGAGAATGTGCATAGATTACCGGAGACTCAACAAAGCAACCCGGAAGAACCATTTCCCTATTCCATTCCTAGACCAAATGCTGGAGAGATTGGCAGGACATGCTTTCTACTGTTTCTTAGATGGATACTCAGGCTACAATCAGATAGTTGTGGCTCCAGAAGATCAGGAGAAAACTGCATTCACTTGCCCCTATGGAATCTTTGCATACCGGAGAATGCCTTTTAGTTTATGTAATGCACCAGCAACTTTTCAAAGGTGCATGTTTTCCATATTCTCTGACATGGTAGAAAAATGCATTGAAATTTTTATGGATGATTTTTCTGTATTTGGTCTTACTTTTGATGCCTGTCTAGAAAATTTGGATAGTGTTTTAAAAAGATGCCAAGATTGTAATCTTGTGTTGAATTGGGAGAAGTGTCACTTCATGGTGACAGAAGGTATTGTTTTAGGACACAAGGTGTCCAGAAAGGGAATTGAAGTGGATAAAGCCAAAATCTCTGTTATCGAGAAACTTCCCCCTCCCATAAATGTCAAAGGTGTGAGAAGTTTTCTTGGTCATGCAGGATTTTATAGACGCTTTATAAAAGATTTTTTCAAAGTTGCAAAACCTTTATGCAAGTTGTTGGGGAAGGAACAAGAGTTTGTGTTTACTGATGACTGCCTGCATGCTTTTAATATTTTGAAAGAAAAATTGATCACTGCACCAATAATCATGGCACCTGATTTTTCACTGCCTTTTGAGTTGATGTGTGATGCAAGTGATTATGTTGTGGGAGTGGTACTAGGCCAAAGAAAAGACAAATTATTGCATGTCATTTACTATGGCAGTAAAATTCTTAATGAGGCATAAAAGAATTATGCTACTACAGAAAAAGAGTTATTGGCTATTGTGTATGCATTTGACAAATTTAGGTCATATCTGCTAGGGTCAAAGGTGATTGTTTACACTGACCATGCAGCCTTGAAGTATTTGTTAACTAAGCAGGATGCTAAACCCAGGTTACTCCGATGGATGTTACTTCTACAAGAGTTTGAAGTGGAAATCAAAGATAAAAAGGGAGTTGAAAACTTGGTGGCTGATCACTTATCCAGGATCACAGAGAAAAATTTGCAAGAAGGACCGGAAGTAGTGATTAAAGAAGAGTTTCCAGATGAGCAAATACTGGCCATAAGCACTGTTTCCAAGTTGGTGCAGGATCAAGTCTTGAAAATCAATACCCCACCGTGGTTTGCCGATTTTGCAAATTACAAAGCTGCTGGAGCAATGCCTGAAGATTTCACATGGCAACAGAGAAAGGAATTTTTGCATGATGTAAGAAGATACATTTGGGATGAACCATACCTCGTCTACAGGTGTTCAGATGGGGTAATCAGAAGATGTATTCCAGAGGAGGAACAACAAGATGTCTTATGGCACTGTCATGGTTCAGCCTATAATGGACACTTTGCAGGTGAAAGAACTGCAGCAAAAGTCTTGATGAGTGGGTTCTATTGGCCAACATTGTACAAGGATGCCAGGAAGTATGTGGAAGCTTGTGACAACTGTCAGAGGACTGGTAATATATCCAGGAGACATGAGATGCCATTAAACAATATACTAGATGTGGAAATCTTTGATGTTTGGGGTATGGATTTCATGGAACCCTTTCCCTCTTCCTACTCAAATAAGTACATCCTGGTGGCAGTGGATTATGTGTCAAAGTGGGTTGAAGCCATAGCCACACAAACTAATGACTCTCCGGTTGTGATCGCCTTTCTGAAAATGAATATCTTTGTGCGATTTGGAGTCCCGAGAGCCATAATCAGTGATGGGGGAACACATTTTGACAACCGGTTGGTAGAAGTTGTTCTTGCAAAATACGGAGTCAGGCATAAGATAAGTACCCCGTATTGCCCACAGACTTGTGGTCAGGTTGAAATTTCTAACAGAGAACTTAAGCGAATACTGGAAAAGACTGTTGGGAATGCCAGGACTCAATGGTCCAAGAAACTTGATGACACTTTGTGGGCATACCGTACAGGATTCAAGACTCCTATTGGAATGTCTCCATTTCAGTTGTTATTTGGAAAAGCATGTCATTTTCCGGTGGGATTGGAGCATAGAGCATTATGGGTTGTTAAGTTTTTAAACTTTGATTCAAAAGCAGCAGGTGAGAAGAGGCTACTTCAATTGGAAGAACTGGATGAATTCTGTCTTACTGCATATGAAAGTGCAAGCTTATATAAGGAAAAGACCAAGCTATGGCATGACAGGAAGATCACATTCAGGGATTTCAAGGTGGGTAATCAAGTTCTGCTGTTCAATTCCAAGTTGAAGTTATTTCCTGGGAAGTTAAAGTCCAGATGGTCTGGACCATTTGTGGTGAAGGATATGAAGTCTTACAGAGCAGTGGAAATTTGTCCTTTGGATTATGAACGAAGCTTTACTGTCAACGGTCAGAGATTAAAGGTATACATTGGAAGTGCTGTGGACAGGCAACTTCTTACGGTTGACTTGATAGAGGTAAGTTGAGTAAGAACCGTCAGGCTCGTGACGTTAAACACGCGCTGAGTGGGAGGCAACCCACTATATCAGGTATGTGATAATTAATATTAATAATATTATAAAAAAAA